GCTTAACGGGCCATTGGAGTTACCGGTGCCATTGTTGCTGTTGCAGTTGACTTGAGCTCTATTTGCTCCGGTAAATAGACAAATAAAGCTTAAGTTTCATCTGTTAAAACATGACCAAGTAATGCACAGGCGGCTGCGAATTCAGCAACTGAAAACAGGCATTAAATTTAATGCAGCCAGGTGTCCAAGAACCAATGCACTCGCATTGATTAGTTTACCTAATTTGGCCCAGAATGCCAGTGATGTACCCTCAAGTCGGTGTAGAGGATAGCGGATGTGGCTGGCACCCCATCTGGCCATTTGGACATCCGACCTGGATCGCAAATAGGGCGGGAACACTGGAGGCTCCGGTTTCGGTCGCTGGGGCGATTAACTCCATCCCACACCTCGCTAAGTGGCTTCTGGCCGTATGGGTTAATTGCGTTTGGGCCTTGGCGACCCCCAGTTGGGCCGCAACGAGCAGGAACCACTCTAAACAGACGCGCGCCCATCGGGCAAACTGCCCACGCGGCGTATGAGTAATAAATTAAATTTTTCAGCCGCATGGCGGCAGTAATAAGTCTTGGCTGCAACTGTTTGCTTAAGTTTTGCCCAGATTGGCATATGAATAAATGAGGCAGATATTTTTCCAACTTATACACGAGTATATATGATACGGAAACTTTCCTCCTACCTGCGATGATTAAGTGCAGGCAATTTATTAACAGATCAAAGTTTATGGCAGTCGAGTGTGTGTGTAAACTGATTTATGGATGGCCATCTAAGATGCCACGAGCCGGGGACTTTAGTTCTGTGGAGGCAAAAGCAAAAGGCACAGGACTCGGCTTTCCGGATATTCCTCAAACTTTTCCTTAGCCCGTATTTATAATTTTGTTTATTCCGCTGATCGCAGGGCTTGCTTGGGAAATGTCCAAAGTTTCAATTGGAGATTAAACTAGCAACTGTCTTTGCCACTCCTTCTGATTAACTTTCCATTGTGCCAGTGACAAGATGCCAAATCTCTGGGCTGACGTAATCGTTTGGATCCGCCTCGCCTCCCCCCCGAAAATTGGGAAGTTTTCCAAATTTCAAAGGAGAAGCCAAAGCCAGTCAATTGCTGTTTAAAGCGGGGAAAAGTGCTTCCAAAAACAACTTTGAACTCTGATGTCGAACAAACACTGCAGCAACAAAAATAACGATGCCCGCAACTGGCCGCCCTCAAAAAATGTATATAAACCTGTGATTTTTATAGCCGACTTTATTTTCTGCCTTCCGTGCTTCGGTCTAGCTTTCTTCCGATTTTCGTTATTTTTTTTTCTTTTTGTGTGCTGGGCAGTTTGGGGATCTCAAGGCGTTAGAGGCGGCTGCCTTTGCTTTTATAGACTTTTCGCTGCCCGTCGTAATAGTTTCCGTTTCGCCCCGTGTCGGCTGTATGTTGTATGTGCTCGAGTGACCCTTCAGATATTATTTTGGCTGCAAAACAAAGCAGAAATGACTTTCAGTGGTCGGAAACGCCGCTTGTGGGTGTGTGTAAAAAAGCCATAAAGTCTTCATATAAGTTTGTTTCTTGGTTTTTCGGAGTAGTGGTCAGTGTTTAATCAATACTTAAGTTGGGCCCCCATAACTAACGTACAAAACTTGAATAAAAATTGAAAAACAAGGCCGAGTGAGTGAGTTTACTTAGTCAAGAACAACATTTTCGTTTAATCTGTCTTAGAGAAGTAACTTTGAGAGGGAAACAATACAAACTACTTCCATTAAGCTTCATTTTATGGCTGAATGCGTTACTTAAAAACATATTTTCAAATTATTTTTTTTTTTGTACAAATAACAAGTGCTTAGAGTTGTCGGTGCTTCAGCAACTAGTTTTAATTCCGAAATGCTTTGTTTTTCCTGTGAAGTGGAAATAGTCTGCACCGGTTACCACTTGAACAAAAAATATAGCATACATTTAAGGGCAACATCTTGGGCCTCAGTTATGCTCCTCCAGCCATGCCTTTCCCCGACAATGGCCAACGAATTTCGAGTTCTCTGAGTGGAGCGACAAGCAACCAGGCAAGTACTCATTAAGAATGTGGGAAAGTGTTTGCCCAGCTTAAGCTTTTAAAAGCAACAGAAGCAGTAGAAGTGGGGCTCAACTCAGACCCGTTGACAGGCCGAGAGACAGCCGGGAAAACATAGACATATCGTACATGCGTGGACCGAGGCAGGGAAACTATTTTGACTAGACTACATCAGTGAGCCGAACGTGCCGGGGGCCTGGACAGTGGCGTACATGTGTGTGGGGCTGTGTGCAGAATGTGTTTTTATAGATGTAAAGATAAACATCTCGGGCAAATGAAAGGGGATGCCGCCGTCCTCGCCTGCTGGGGGCCACAGACATTAATTCAGCAGGGGGATTCGGGGAGCCTGGAGCTGAGACCCACCCCAGGCTCTCACGCACACACACGCCGGGCAATAACATAAAAATTTGCTGCTGTAAATCTGCTCAGAACTAGAAGAAGGCACACTTTAATGCGAACTCTGCCCCGCCGCCCAATCACCTCTTGTTTCAGCGCCCGCCCGGCGTATACGTAATCTGTTGTGTAATGTCTTTAGTTGTGACAAGTTCGTAGAGCGAACGGCCCGAACGAGAGTTGCTCTGGCAAAAACTGATTCTGAGAGAGTGCGAAAAAAGTGGGCAGAACGAAAGGGACGACCAGAGGCCGGGAGGGAGAAGCCTGAGCCGCGCAAGCCGAAGTTTTGAAACAACATTTAGATAAATTTCCCCCGGGACTCCAAATGGATGGCAGGGCGGAAAGAATGATGTAGTAGTGGCAAATTTAGTTTTCATACGTAGTTAGTCGCTGAAAGTGGTGTAAAGCACTTTGAGTGCCGCCCGATTGGGTATTCAACTCACTTGGATTGCAGCACCTCCTAGGGCAATTACAATAATTGCCAACTCGAGTCGATCAATGGGCTAATGAGATGACAAACTGCTCTACCAGCTAAATAAACTTTCAAATGCCATTTAATTTCAATTACCGCACCACACCCTCGTCACTTTCGAATGCCGTTGACTTGAGTTGCAGGGCGGACGAAGTGGAGTATCGGAGTATCGGACGCCATTCGCTCGGAATAAGTAAGTGCCGCTCAATTTGGCCGCTCAACTATGTACTTCGTGGTTTCGTCATTAAGCCATTAAAGGGTTGATTTCCGCCCAGAGAGGGGGGTCTTTTAATTGCGTTTCGTTTTGCCCACACAAGGGGAAGTCCTCGACCGAAATTGAGCAACATTTGCGGGCAAGTTTTCCCACTCGCAAAGTTCAACCGAAATGTCAAGTCATTAATATTCACACGCCGGCAGGAGCGAAACTGTTTCGGCAACAATTCTCGATGCAGACGAATAATATTTAATTAGAGAATTGTTTAGAAAAACTTTTTAATTACAGGCCCCGCAGCTTGGGGTTCTCGCCCAGACCCGCATAAATCTACCAGGGGAAAGGCTTACCCCGAAAAATATTATGAAGGCAGCCGGCGACCCATGAAAAGGCTTTAAAGCCGTTTAAAGCGATGAAAAGCCTTCTTCTCTATACAGTTTATTGTTTATAAGAGAAACTTAAATATTCTGTAAAAGTGCACACAGTGGCATCTTTAAAGAATTACTTAATATTTTATTTCACGAAATACACAAATATTTAATGAGATTCCTTGCAAAACTAATATGACTTGTTTTGAGATTCCGGCAAACGCCCGCATAAATCTTTTAGTCCGGAGCTTACCCGAAAAAAAAAAATATTATCAACGCAGCTCCCGGCCCCTCGGAAGCCTTTAAAGCCGTTCGGGGAGATGAAAAGCCCCGCTTTTCCGTTGCTCTGAGTAGCCGTCAGTTGCATAAATTTCACTTGCGATGGCAACGTTAAAGTCAACATTCTGCTGCCAGTGGCCTACATTTGGCCGAGGGAACGGGGGAAAATGGGGCTTGGAGTGTACTTTTAGCATTACTGCCTCCGCCTTTCACTTTCGGTGACATTTTGCAGCGTTGCATGCACCACATGCTTGTGTTTCTGTGTGTGTGTGCCAGCGAGAGTGCGAGTGAGTGTGCGTGCTTATGCAGATGAGTTGCCAGTAACGTGTGGAAAATTATGAAGATAAATTTGTGTTTGTCTTTTTTTCCCCACTTTTTTTTTCGTGAGCGTCCCAAAGAGCGTCAGTCGTGTGCCACTTTGGCGGTGCCAGCTGCTGCCGACACGAAAAATTCTATGAAAAATTACCCAAGTAAATCCATGTGAAGTATAGCCGATAGTTTCCGAAAGTACGGAGTTCTTAAATTGATGCGAGTGAAAGGAAAATTGAAGTCGATTGACCTTCACTTGGCTTAAACAAAGTTACAAAATAAAAGTTCATTGTTTAAATTGAGTAAAAAGAGCAGAGTAGGCTTAAAAATAAAAGGAAAGTGATCGAAATCCTAGTAGTAATTTTGTAAAATTGTATTCATTATTCATATTAAACCAATTAAAATAGATCTGCAGCCTGTGCAAAAATTTCTGTGTTTCCTTTAAGTTCAAATAATATTTCCAGTAATAGAAACTGAGCTAATTTCAAATGGATTCCCCTCTGGTTAGACGGGTAGCTTTGGTATTGGCTGAGAACTAAATTAATTGACAACTGTTCGAGATGTTCGAGAGGAGTAATTTGGCGCATTGAATACAAATTGCGTGGCCATGTGGCCCGAGGCCAATTCCCGGCGAACTAAGCCGGCAAATGGCGAAACTTGAGATAATTAATTGAGCGCTAAACTAAACACGAATTCCGAGCCGAGCGGCCAAAAGCAATTATCTGCAATAACAATACACTCTGCACACACACACACAACACATGTCCGTGTGTGGGCCAGAGGGCAGACCATATGAGCACACCCAAGCACCCACACACGCCCACAAAGGACCTACAGTAAATCACTCGACATTTAGCAGTCTAAAATAAATCGATTCTCTATTAACGGAACATTAAAAACCCCGATTGCCTTTTGTTTCATTTCAGATAAATGCGCTAAACAAACAAAAACGCCAGCGGAAACGGTCCGAAATCCAATCTGAATCAAAGGGGAAGTGGGACTTAGCCTCAGAGACAGATGTTGCTTTTCCACCACGGACGGGAAAATAGTAGAAAACATGGCCCAGAGCCAGCGGTTATTGATGATCCGTGGAGGCGAAATCACCGTTAAGCAACTGGCGAACTAAAACCAAAAGAAATATTAAACAAATTATGAACAGCAGTGCGATTGTGGGGCAATAAAATTGGCCATAAAGAACACACAGTTGATACCGTGCCCAGTGATAAAAGAAGGAAAAACTATTATTTGACAAACTGTCAGCGGAGTCAGTGAAAAGTGAAATAGTGAACGTTTGCAGAAAAAAATCCGAGGAGTGGAACATTTCCCAGACTCCACACATTGCGTATACGCCGCGTTGCCAGAACCGTAGCTCTCGAGAAGGTGTTAAATGCGTTCGCATATCGCTGCCGGAGCCCTGGCTCCCCCCACCACAGCCCCCCTTGGATCCGCCGGTGTAAGCCAGTGAAAGCCAGCGAAAGTGCCGAGCAGTGCATTATTTCCGCGCAACCGAACATTTTCGCGCTCGCACCCCGGCGCGAGGGGATGCGCTCCTGGAAAACTCGCAGTCGATCCGAAATGCAAGCACTCGAAACGAGAACGCGGTCCCAGCCGGGAGCCCAACTAACGCAGCTCCTGCTTGGTGGCATCCTCTGCCTGACAATCGGTAAGTGTCCTACAAACTCAAGCCCAAACATGGAGCCCCAGACCCATGCGACATATCTCAACATCTCACCCAATCAGGCCATAATCAATTAGTGTTTCAATGGCTCAATATCCTCGACAATTTCCTTGGCTGCGTGCGCAATGTCAAAGGCGTGGCCCCAAAACGGATGAACAGGCTCAATGCCAGGGAGCACGTAAAAGAAAATTACATTTACAGGCTGCTTCAAATACAAGTGCTACTTGGTCGTATTATTTTTAAATCAATATCTTTTTAATTATCACAATTAAATTGTGTTTATAGCACCTGAATCTACTTTTTATTTGAATTTCCTTTATAATTATGATCACGAAAGAAGAGAAGCCTTATTTCATAATGCATTTTAAAACCAACTTGGACCAGTTTCAGTGTACTTTTTTATTTGCTTTAGTTTTTCCCAGTGCTCAAGAGTGGTTGGAGGAGTGCTGTGTGCGCGGTGGGAAACTGCTCGACATTTGCTCTTCAGGCGGCGGCGGCTCAATTGCAGTTGCATGCATTAAAAATGAACGAGTGCCTGGCTGAAACAGATGTTCCCCCGGCTGGCGCTCGTCACCTTCCCTGCAACCGCATCCCATCCCGACGTGCAATTTTCGAATTTACAATCGTTAGCCCTGGTGCCATCGCCGCTGCTGTTGTTGTCTCTCCCTGCTGTTGCCAGCGACAACAATTATGATCCCTTTTGTGTGTGTCTGTGTGCGTGTTAATTGCTCTGGAGGAGCGGAAAAAAAAACCGAAATAAAAAATAACAGAGTGCCTGCAACGCGGAAGGGGGTAATTTCAATGAACTGCATAAAGTGGTTTTGTTAACACGCCGACAACAGTTGATTCAGACCACTCGGACCCCATCAACCTTTAATTTGTTTCAATTGTCGCGCTCTCTTTTCACACTCAATGTCATAACAATTCAACTCACTTAGCTACGTTTTTTATCCTTGAAAAAAAATAAGCTTCTATTAAGTTGAAAACTGTCAGTCCATCAAAGCTTACAACTCTCCGTGCCTCATGCGATGTGACAAGAGCAGCAGTCAGTCTTTGACATCCTCCGAGTGACCGTTGAGCATATATTTTAATAAAAGACAATCGAGAGTTTGTCATCAACATACATATATGTGCGATTTATGGTTTACTAAAATGTTCGTTAAAATTGAATTTTTTGGTGATTGGATTTTATGTCAAAGGCAAAGTCAATTTATTGCAAGTGCGTTTTAAGTGCTCGAAATCAATTTATACGAGCAACAGTTTCACCTTCATAGCCAAGTTTAATTGAAACTACAAATTTATTGGCCATATTTTCTTTTAACGAAGGTAAACACCAAGTTTGCTTTGAGCAAGGAAACATTAAAACGTGATGTATTTTCCAAAGAGTAAACTCAATTCAATAGCAGACTAACACTATTAAAACTATAAAAATGCTGCTAATTCTGCTAAAAAGGGGTCTTAAAAACGTTTTATTCCTTCTGCAGTAAGGGGAAAATACGTGAAATTGAATTTTCGCATGATTTTTCCTCATTGCTGTCATAAGAAGCTATTAACGTACTTACGGCCGTCGCCAAAAGCCTCAAAACACTTAAATGGGCCATAGACCGCGAATGCCCGGAAAAAGCATGAAAAGTGAGGGAAAAAACCAGAGGAAAAGCTGGGCAAAAGGCAAACATGAAAAGCATAATTCACTGCTGCTGCAAAATGGTGAATTGTAAATGATCAGGCAACGTTGCAGGTAAGTGAAAATAGAACAAAAAATAATAAGAGGAGGTGGTGGGGAAAATCGGTGGAAATAAGCGAGTGAAGCCATTAAGAGTTCTGTGAAATTTCATGTACAACTTGGCTAACTACACAAATATTGCAGTTTTTTTCGCATACACGCACACAGCTGCTGCTGTAGCTGGCCCTCAGGTACACTATAGTATTTTCAGCATTCTTAAACTTTATTGAATTTTCCGCTCTCTCTTTCTCTATATTTTTTCTGGCTTTCCCTCTCTGAGTTGTGGTCTTCCACCCAACTCTGAGTGTAAGATTGATTTATTCTTCATTTGCTGGGCTTTGCTTTCTGCTTCCCAACATTTTTCATAACTTTTCCGGGCTTCTCGCTCGCCTGCAGTAAATTTATTTAAGTTGTAAATTGTGCTGGAAATTTGTAAGCATTTAAAAATGATTTGCAGCTGCCCGCTCAGTCGATTTGCCTTAAAGTGGAATAAATCCATGGACCGCCACTTAGGCACTATCAAGGCTCTCGCATAATCTGCAGCTGCTAAGAACTGCGTTGCGTATACGCCCTGCTGGGCGTCGGATCTGTGCATATATAAATTATGGCAATAAAAGTAAAATCAACAGAGCTGCGCCTTTGGTTTCGTTTCTGGCTCAGTTCGGTTCGGTTTGGGTTTTAGTTTCTCGCTCCTTTCGGCCAACTTTTCACTTTCCTTTTTGCCGTACTTGGATCCGAAACTGGAACTGAATCCGGGGACATTATTTCTTCGCTTTCATTTCCGTCTGTTTTGTCTGTTTGGCTTTATTGCAGTTCTCCCAACTGGGTTTCTTTTTCCACGTCTTTTTTTCCCGGGCACAGCAAATAAATATCACAAAAATTCGCTTCCAGTTCCGTCAGGCATTTTCATGAATTTCTCTGGCATAGAAAAGAATTTTCTCTCGTTTTTCTTTGCTCCCCTTTTTGCCTGCTGCTGCTCGCTACTTTGCCAGCTTTTTGTTTCGGGCTTATCCGCCGCGTATTTTCCCACGAAACAAAACAATGAAATGAAAAATTATGGCCAACGCCCTCCCCGATTTTTCTCCACTTTTCCCCGCCTCCCACCATCCGGTGTGTGTAAATGTGTTTTTGCCATCAATTTTTATTGCGAGCTGAGTGTATCAATAAATTAAACATAAAATTTTCAACCGTCGAAAGGCGAGAAGTGCAGCAGCCACGCCCACCGCCTACCGCCAACGACTGGCAACTGGCAGTCAGCCGACTGCCGATATAAACTGAGCATCTTGTTGAGCCATTGAATTGATTTTGTGGCCATAAAATGCATTCGGATTTGGCCAATTGGCATTGAAGTTGTTTCTCAATTCGCCTGCAGACTTGCGTCTTTCTCCCTCACTCTGCGCTGACATATATAGGGCTTTTCCTTTGAGCATTTTGATGGATGGCCAGGCAATTTATATTTAATAAGCTTACCAGCCAGGCAAATCATTGGCAAGTGCTCGACTTGGCCAGAAATAGCCGAAAGCTAATTGTCGGCTTCAAGGATTCGGTCCTCCGAGACTTCCCAGAAAGCTTAGTCAAATGCTTGTTTGGCATCCTCGCAGCAGCATTAATCTTTCGCCTTATATGCTGCTCCTTGGCAGGAGAAAACAAAAAGTAAAATCAATATATTCTATATCAATATTAATGGACTCTCTGTTCGCTCTGCTCCACCCACCCATACACACACACACCTTCCGAAGACAGGGATAAAAAAGTGTTGACAGCTGCTTTTATTCACCTGTCAGGCACACAAGCCGCGCTAAACCGTTGATAAGCAGCCGGCCAACAGCGTGTCATACATATGGACCAAGGCCCGAAGCCCAGCCCCCAGCCACCGGGTTCTTTCCCAGGTCCAGCTATCTTCCCTTGTCCAACCGAAGAGCTTGGGGCAATAAAAATCCATCAGCATCATTTATCAATAGGGGGTGTTTTTTGGGGCCAGACCAGTGTGTCTACGGAAATATGGAAATATCAAATAGTCATGTAGGAGAGCTGAAGGAAAATATGTCATCTGTCGAAGGGAAACTTTGTCGAGCCCACTGCTAGCCAGGCTCCAGTGATTGTCCTTCTGGACCTGCTTGTCACAGAGCATAAATGTCACAAAGTTCGCCGGTGATAAATGACATCGAGCGCTGCTCGTCGATGTATTTATTTCGACCTTCTTAGGGAATTCTTCAGAGATAGTAAAAAAAATGAAATATTTCAAAATACAAAACCATTTATTGTTGTCTTAAAATGATTTTCCAGAAAATATAACTTAGTTCACAATAAAATGCTAATATTTATTGCCATTAACTTAAATTAACCATTAACTTTACAAATTTACAAGCACAGCCTAAAGTGAAACTCAGGAAGTATTTTTGCCATTTCCAATCTAAATTAATTTTCTTTTTTAAAGAGCCTTCGGCTCTCTTTCTTTTGCCCCCAAAGAAAAGTGCCCCGCGCAACATTTTAATTAATTTTTATCTCCCTCGTTCGCTGCTTCTGTCATCTGATGGATCTTTAGTATAAAGTGCAAATATAATTCAATTTCGATTCCGGCAACCTGCAGCTGCAGCTGACAGTTCAATTCCCGACGATACTTTTTCCCCGGCATTTCGGGTGCAAGTGTCTCTGAGAGTTATTTGGCGTCAGTCGGTCGCTGTTTGCCGGTTGCTTACTGGAGGCGCGCCTTTTGCAAGGCAAATGAGCGCTGTGCCAAATGCCACGCCCCGAAAACAAACGCCCACTGCCACACCCACAAACCATGTACCCCCGTCATACCGACACTCCCCTCCAACGAGTGCAGGCTCTCAAACAATATCTGATAAGCTGCATCATACATTTGCATACTTCCGGCAATTTGTTTTTGTGCGAACCAAACGAATCGAGACAAATGCAATAAGCGCACAGGAACAGGAGCCACAACAGCTATGGGGGCCAAAAAGTGTGACCGAAAAAACAGGGGCCTAGCAGCGAAATTGGGGTACACTCCACTACAAAAAAAAAGTCAGAAATAATCGAAGGCATATCAATAAGTTATTATCAGAAATGCAAATGAAGTTTTTATTGAAACAGATTTTTATTTAAAATAAAAGCAAGCAGGGGGATTTTATATTTTCTTGGTCGAAACTAAAGATATATAAAATGTGAATTTAAATAATTTATTTATATTATTATTATTTAAAATATTTAAAATACTTCCTAAAGTTATAAATTTCATTTCAAAGCCAACGTTTTTCGGTCTTGAAAAATAAAAAAAATATATAATAGTGAATTTAAAATAATCTGTACAATCAGCTTTAGTAGCCAGAATTACCCCATTCAGAAAGGGCATCCAAAACACAAAGAACACGGGGAATAAAGATAAAAGCGAAAGAGTTCACTCGCGCATGCTGCTCGATTCGGATTCACAGGCGGAGACGGAGGCTGTTCGCATTGTGCATACAAATTACGCTCATGCAGTGCTCCTGCCCCACCAGAAAATCCCTCGGAAAACGCCCCTACCCTCCGAAAACTCCCCTGAGAATCTCTCCTGCAAAAAACCCTCCCCACGCATTTGTTTATTTAGGTGACTCGCTGCAAGTTGTTTGCCATTTGCTGTGAGCTGTGTGCGTCTTTTGCCCAGTAAAAATATTGTTAGCCATAAATTTTTGGCAACACAGCGGAACAGAGGAGCGCAAACAGAGCAAATAAAAAACAAAAAAAAAAAACGTGTGGAAAAAAGTGAAAAAGCGCATCTAACATCGAGCAGGAAGCGCGGCATTTGTAGTCACAAATTCCGGGGCATTTGTTTAGAAACTTTGTCCGCAGTCTGCAGTCTGCAGTCCGCGACTGAATCGCTGAAATACAGGGACACGCCATGTAATGTCAACTTGATTCGGGTCCAAACAAGAGCTTCCACTTGAGCAAGTTTGCAGCCCAGCGGAGCGCAATCCGGCGGCAGATACATACACATATATAGCAGATTTGCCGGGGGCTCGCTTTGCAAATATGGGAATTTGTGTACATAAATTGTCGTCATCATTCTGGGGATCAGGGCAGGCGCGCCAACTTCCATCAAACTGCAGCTCTGAGTTCTGTCTCACTACACAGGACACAAAATCCACACCGATACAAGCACTGCTGCTGTTGCCGAAAACAAAAATAAACAAAAAACAAAAACTGTTGAAAATCAAATAAAAACTAAACACCAAACATACAAATGCTACTCCCACAGCACTAAAAACAAATATAAAAATAAAGAATAATTTAATAAATAAATAAATACTTCACATGAAACTAGTTGAGCAACAAAGCCGCCAAGATGAGTATGACAGAGATGATGCGCGGCAAAACAATGTCGCCGGAGCAGAAGAATGACATCAAGTTGGCCCAGCATGGTGAGATAATTCAAAGATTAGGGAAACTTATATAAAGTTCTTAAGCATAAGTCCAAAATAAAACTGTTTTTAAGCTTAAAATACATAACCTGCCAGGTAATAATTAGCCCTGTTCTTGATCAGAATTCGCCAACGTCCGCTTGGTGCAGGTTGGCTGTGTAATGGGTGTCCTGGCAGAGGCTATCGAGCGGATCAAGATCTCGCTTATCTTACCCAAGATGCTGGAGCATCCAAGTCACATGGCCAAGGTTCTACAAGGTACCAAATACGAACCAGCCGTCCGCCTGGTGTACTCCTTCCTTCGGCGCAAGCAGTTCATACTGCGTGAAAAACGGCCGCCGCTGGCAGACCACGGGATGATCCAGATCATCGACTTCTTCCAGCGCAACCACCAAATGCACGTACTTTTTCCGCGCTATTACAACCACCTGAGCAACGAGGAGAACAGGCTGCTAAAGGCCTTCAATATGCTTTCTGAACTAGCTAAAGACCGCCTCTACAGGACCTCCACCGAGGCGATAGCCCAAGAGCGCAAACTTTACGCAATGTACAAGGAGAATGAGAGGGTCAAGGTGCAGGTTGACTTGCTGAGAGAAAAAATCCACAGTCAAAGGATGGCACACAAGTGGCGAATGGCCACCAAGGAAGCCAACCTGCAGGCCTACGAGGAAATGCTCGAGAAGAAGAAGCGCGAGAAGAACCAGCGCCTTCAGAAGGAAATGTGAGTCCTTTAGGTGGCGCAACTCTAAGTTAATTGTGGACTGATTGTGTCCCTTTCCTCACAGCGATCGTGTAAATCGCATGGTTCGTGCCAAGAGGAAGATAAGCATTGAACGGCAAGCTGAGCTGGAGGAGAAGCTGGAGACGACTAAAAAGAATTACGATGCCTCGACTAAGGCCTACATGAAGCTGGAGATGGCAAACCGCGAGGAAAAGTGAGTTTAATGGCACAATACATCACCAATACATTAGAGGTAAGACCGCTCTGTCACCCAGAAACAAGCTGATCTTACAGCTGCAGGCGCTGATCAAAAAGTATGATCACGTCATCGGCGAGAGGATGATCGAGAATATTGAGCTAGAAGAACAGTACAAGGCGGCCAAGAAGGTGCTGGACGACTTTATGGTCGGCTACCGAAAGGTGGAGCGGGTCTACAAGGAAGTCGTGGTGAAGCGCGAAGAGGAGGAGGCCAGGCATCGGCAGCAGCGCATCATCATCTTCGCCATGAATCGCGCGGCTTCCAAGATCCAGAAGTACTGGAGGAAGTGGAAGAAGCATATGCGCAAGAAGAATAGGCGGATAAGGTGAAATAGATCTAAAAATTATATGTAAATCGACTGATTTCACACTTGCTAATGTTGTCTGAAAGTAAGAATTTAAATTCCAAATTAAACAGTGAATGTAAGCTTACGCTAACAACTCTTCCCTTTAAGCTGGAATGCTTTTGACTTTCAGCCCGTCGTAATTGAAATTCATTCTGTCACTAACTGATTTCAACCCAGCTGGATTGGCTTATTAGAGGAAAAACTAATTTCGGTTTTAATCGGCAGACTCCCAAGCCACAAGGACACAAGGACGCCGCATCTCTCCATCTCTTTAGCTATCTGCCCTCCATTGGGTGTCATTTGCATTTAAAATGTGTGTGAGAGTTTGCCATTTTAGCAGACTTTTTTTTTCCCAGGCAGTTTTCGGTGTGGAAAATGCATAGAAACGGGAATTTCTAGCACAATGTGCCACCAGAATAAAGGGACTAAGTGCAGTCAAGTCAAAGTCAAAAACTGCCTGCCCAATTCGGCAGGGAATTTTGTGGTTCATGGTGAAAAAAAGCAGAGAGCTAGGTGCCCAACTATATAGTACCTTGGTCCTTGTTCGTTTATAAAGTTTTTCTCCTGCCCAATATACCCTTGTAACCTACAATTACCGGGCAATGTGCAATAGTAAAATGTATAGAGAGTGCTGGAAAGCCGGCAAGCATCCAACCATTGGGCCATCGAAACGAACCGACCGTGTATGCAAATTGCGCGCACTGCTCATGCCCCGTCATGAATTGTCACCCATTTTCCGACTGAGATGCTTCGACACGCGCAGTGTGGGCGGTGGACGTGGGCGTGGGCGTGGGAGTCGGGGTCCTAACCAGGAGGTGGATAGACCGCAAACAGCCAAAGTACCGCCTGTATGCAGCACCAGCAGCACCGGCAGCAGCAGCAGCAACACTCATCCGCCCTGGTGGCTGCGCGGTGACTTTACGCCCGACAGCAGTCGACATGAATATATCTGCTGGTAATATCGGGTTTCCTTCCGCGCCCCCGAAAACCACACCAGCTCCACAAACGGTTTCGAATTGCCAATTTTATCAGGACGTGCACACACATGTGTTACAGCATTTTCGGCGCAAGGAGCACATCCTTTCTGCGGCCGAGGACATTCGTTATCGGCGATCTACGTTTGCCATTTTATTGTTGACCATTTCAGTTCGGCCCATAAAGATTGATAATTATGTCGGGCTAATATTGTCAGCCGTAAAAATTGATATCGTCCTGACGGAGGCAGTGGCGGGGAAATATTTTATGGTCACCCCTCAGGACGATTGTGCAATGCACATAAAACGCTCATAATATTGGTGGAGGTGGGGGTTAAAGGGGTGGCGGGGTGGCGGCGGGATGGCGGTTGGAGAATCCAATGAATATAAACAACAACAATTGAAATAATGGCAGGCAACTGAAATCCCATCATAGGACTCATCCTTGCAGCTTGCCAAGGACCGCCGCAGAATTGCTTTCCACCTCTATATCCTCCTATTCGCTATCTATGTCCCGTCTGTCGCTGTGTGGGTGTGTGTGCTTTGTCCTGACGATTTAATCGCAGTAATGGAAATGTCCTTTTTTATTAGAGATTTTCATTTCATGCATACATATATAGAGGATTCCTATTCGGAGTATTTGCCGTTTCAATTGTTATATTTATTGTGCCACTGTTCCTGCCGATGATTGCAATCGAAACAAAAACCATCGCCAGATTTACATTTATTCCTTGAATGCTCTTACTAAGGATACCTATGGATCTAGGAGTGTTTGTCTGAATATTTATAAAATATTTTATTAGAAAAGTAATTCGATTTTACTATATAGAAATATGTATATCCACTTGTTACTATGGTTTCAACCCATAATTTCGATATTTTCTCCCGAAAATTTAACAAAAAATACTTAAACAATACAAAACTCAATATGTACAATTTGAATAAAGTAAGTATTAAAATAATAAATAACAAATATTTCAAGGAAAGAACATTTAAAACGTTCAAAAATCCACTTGGTAACTCTCCCACCTTTAGGGTATCACAATCTCCGATTATGCCCGATTTTGTATATCGTTTTGCTCCGATTCTGGCTGCTGTCAGCCAGTTGACATTGTATTCGGGATATATGTAGATTGCGGGCTGGGATGCATCGAATCCGTGTTCGATTCCATTTAGGTCTCCGCTTTGCTATTCAAGTAAATCTCGTTGATAGAATAACTGGTTCAGTATTCATTAAATTAAGTGTTTGCCATTCGCTCGATTGTGCTGTCGGGCTTTAAGCGTTGAATGATAGATGGCTGATATTCATACTGGCAGCCCTGTCGTTGTCGTTGCTTTGAATACTTGGCATTCAAATGTTTTTGGCGGAATGCACACACCCAAGTATGCCAGCCATCCCTTGACTCGGATGCCTTAACCCATGCTGGGCCATGTGCCCTGTCATGGTCGTTGCATTCCATGGAATCCATGGAACCACTCCGCTTCCCCACGAATCCACAACAAACAAACCCACTTTGGACTGCTGCTCCGGCTGTCGCTTTGGATGTGGATGTGGCTAAGGATATGGGTACTGCTACGGCTCGGCCTTCTTTTATTCGCTGCCAAACAATTGCGAGGGAAATGTTATGGGTACTCGCCGCTGGGAAAGTGAGACAAAACCGGGCAGCCGGCAAGTATGCAGCGAATGAGCTCCCCCAGCTGGAGACGAAGCTTTCATCTACACTGAAAGCAAACATTGCTACGATTTAAAATATATATTTATTGATTGATGTAAGAGTCCTAATCCTTATAGATTTTTAGAGGTATGGGTTCACCTTAAGCAGGCAAATCCTATATACTTTTAAACACTTCAAACTCTCATCAGTTTTCGTGGATTTCAATTCCTTTTCCCTGCGTGTATTCCCGAAGGTGGATATAATGGCAGACCGAGGATGCAGGAAACAGGAAGCCGCCAGACGGCGTTCCATTTTCTAAGGCTTTCGGCTTTCTTTTGGGGCGAAAAGAAAGGCAAACAACTTTAGCTCCAAACATCAAAATATTGGGGATACTCCGGGAGTCCTAGGAGCTGCGGGGGGACAAAGGCCTCGAGGGCCCCAACCGATTCATGAGTGCCGGAAATGCTTTATGAGTTCGGGCAATGTTTCCTCCCCGCCATAAAACGCGAGCCAGCCAAATTGAAATCTCACTTTGCGCCGCTAACTTTTCGTCCTGTTTCTCTTTTTTTTTTATTTTTTGGCTAGCCCCAAAATATATATGTATTTATGCACACCCCAATGCATAAAGAGTGGCACTAGTTCCTCCAGCCATTCAGAAGGATGCTGCCAAAACAGCGACGGAGGATGAGGGCCAAACGAACGGGAAACGGGCTGCAGAAGGCAAGGAAAGGAAAGGAAAGGAAGTTTCGCAGCCAAAAAGGCGTCGCTCACTGAATGCAGGCAACGTCTCTAACTGCTCATAATTTATGCTAACGGCAATTTAAACTTCAGCTGTTATTTATTAAAGCCACGTGAAGTCCTTTCACGCCGCCCTCCTCTGGCGGTTGGTCATTGTAAGCCGCGTTTTCAATGCCCCTCGAGGCTGGCACAGTGGTACAAACGTGTTAGATACGAAAAGGTGAAAGAGTTTAGAAAAATACGAATGCTAATTTAGTTTTAAAGGCAATGTAAAGGTGTGCCATTAATGAAATATTATATATTTCATGGTTTATTATCCAAAGACTTCTCAGCTTTCTATCCTTGGAAAACTCTTAAAGACTTTAAAACATTTAAAGTAGATTCTCTTGTATTCCACGCTCTTTTGCAACCCCTTGGCTTTGCCTAGAATGAAGAAACTCATTAGGGTAATTTTTTCATTATAGTGCTGCCATAATCGTAATCGTAGTCAAGTTCGTAAAACTTAACGCCAGCTAGCTGCTGCGCACACATAAATGTTATTTTTAGGCCAAATTTTCTGCACTTCCGGTTCACTGTTGTTGGCTGCCAAAAAGTGACCCAAATTTGCAGCCAGGCGATGGTTGTGTCTGTGTCTGTGTCTGGGCTTGTTTGCCCAGCCCTGCACAGGCCAGGCCCACAGGGGCAGTGGGTGTTTTGGGCACAGGACCATCAAATTGCCGGGTGCAGCTAAATGTGTCGCATGGAGAAGGATCTGGCCGCGGGGATGGGTATTGTCGCCCCTGCAGTCGAGTTAAGTGTTTTATATTTTCGTTTAGCAGCTGAAAGTGGCATCCTTTGCATCCTTGGATCTGGCCGCATCCTGCGTCCTGCATCCATCCATCCACTAACTGCTGCCGGCTGCGTTCGTTGTTTTTATGCAAAAGTTAAAAGGCACGAGCCGCACAAACAAGCACACGCAAATACTCAGTCGCTTCCACCTGGGCCATTGCCATTGCAGTTTAAAGCACTCTGGGCCCGGCCGAGATTCAAGAGCTTTATTGGTAAATTGGACAGATTGAGGTAAAGTGATATTAATGTCAACGCCAGTTGCCAGTTGGCTTCCACTTCAAATGGCAGCGTGGGGTCTCGTCCGGCAGGAAATTTAAATGTTTAAAATTGCCCAAAACTTGATACGATCCGGTTAGTTTTGTGGGTATGAGCCTAATGAATTTTTCTGTGTACTGATGTCGAAATAAAATTCTTGGCCTAAAAATATAGCCCTAGTCTTTTGGGAAATACTTCAAATTCAGAGTGACTTTAAAAGGTTTCAAATGAAATGGCTTTTGATAATGTATTTGAGTCGAAACACTTGTGATATATACATAAAGTGAAAGTGTTTTATTATTTTGTAAGAAAATCACTTTAAAATAAAAAGGAACTATTTGCCTTTTGATCCAACTAATCTTTCTTCCACCTCACATCTCACAATGCCAGGAAATTGTATACTGTATTTATCGCTCCCTCGACAGCAATTCAATTTAAAATTTAATTTTCGCTCCCACCTCATTCAAACAAACTGTGACACCGAAAAAACAATTACGTTTATTATTCATGCAAAACGTGTTTAGGATGCGCCACATTTTCCACATGCATCTTATTTCTCCCCTCGTCCTCGGTCGCCGCATCCTGCTGGCAACATCATTAGAAGGCATCGCAAAAAAAAAAAAAAAAAAAGAAAGCCGTGGAACAGAGTATATATAAAAAGTGTGCGCGCAAATGAAATTTCACCTGCTATCAACAAATTGCGCTACTTTGCAGGTTAACTGCAGCGGAACAGACGGGGCAACCGCGTCCGCTAGACAACAACAAGAAAGGTTCCTATAATCGGAATGACCGACTATAAGATACCCGGTAAATCTCTTTCCTTGGAGCATTTGCACACTAAAGATTTAATCTTTATTTTAATATTAATTTTTGGTTATTTTTTATTCCCATGAGAACTATTTTTCAATGCGTAAGTGTGTCTTTGAGCTGCCTAAAAATATTCCTTCACCTATGGGTTTTTCATTCCACTGTTCTTGGTATCATCCTGTTCAGTTGTTGGCTATACCTAAATCTTTTCGAATCTAATACACCCTTGTACGCTCTGAGAGAACCAGGTAAACCAAGAACAACCAGAGGCAGCAACTTCACTTGATGTGCATGACTTGCAACAAAGCGAGAGTCCCTGGTGGAAGTGCAGTTGATTGCTGACTCTGGGTTCGAGGATATAGTGGGGGGCTCTGCATCTGGTCCTGGCTCTGGTTCGAGATGAGCAGGGAGATGCTGTTAAAAGCACTGAGGTTACGACGTGTCGGAATTTTTATGCGTTTTAAAGTATTTCCATGGGCGAGGCCAGCTGGCGGGGAAAGGCAGCGCCCGTAAAACTGTATTAAGCGTGGAAAACTAAGTTATGCGACCGAGCAGAGAGTTACGTAGAGCAGCGCCATAACAACTTAGCACGTACGGCCACTGGCCCAGAACGTGTGTGTGTGTGAGGGGGATCAGCGGGAGGGGTTTAGCCTCCTCCAGGGGGCGGTATCCAGAGTGTGAGAGGTCGTAATGATGTGGGTGGCTCGAATGACACGTTGCGGAAGTTGTGGCTTAGTTTGTGGGCGGGCCGACAGTTTATGTCTGCGAGCTTAGCTCAAAAATACGCCAACTTGTTTGCTCAAAAGGCATAAAACATAAAAAATACCCCCACACACCCACACACACACACTCTACACTCGCTCTGGTGGAGTCCTTTATGCCGCCATTACCACATCATAAAATCCTTCTTTTTTGTGTCCAACTAATGATGGATGAACCATAGCCACAGGTAGAGAGCGTAGTAAAGATATCAAGCTGTTTCACGACCCATATGCTACCACTCCTCCCCCCGGGAAACTCGTACAGCCATATCCACAGATGCGTGCTTGTGTGTGTGCAGCACCTGTAATGACTCCATCCGAACTCGGTCCGCACACCGCCATTACATTAATTATGTTCCACTGAATGCAGGAACACTCTGATGCCATATTTTATGCGGAATTTCGCTTAACAAATTGAAAATTCTGTTTTGCCCGCGAATTAGCTCTTACCATCTAACATACATGTGTAATTTTTTAATGTAACTAATTGCAAGTTAAAACGGAAATTATAATACATTTATGGCAAATATTTTGGCTCTTCTTTCGTTGGCATTATGTATTTTTGATTCGTTTTATTTTCGACAATAAATGATACAACATTTGATACGGTAATTATGTGTTTATTGTTCCGTGAAACAAAGCTTCTCGTGTTTAGTTCAATAAATGTAACCAGTTTAGCGCTAGAAATATGGTGTTGTATGAAAAATAAATGAATTTAGATGTGATGAGATTTTATTCATTTATATTTTTGTGCTTGGAAAGTATTTTCAAATAAACTGCTTGAGTTAGCCTATCTATAAACATTTCAAAAATGATTAGAACTCGATGAAAAAGTATAAAATAGTATTTGTAAGTGGCAGCCATCAATTTAGACTTAATTTCAAAGCAATTTTCTCTACCAGAGCTGCCATTCATATCAGAGTTTTTACCCTCATTATTTTCAATGACCAGTGGTATTCGCAAATTGTTGTTAAATAACATTTCATTGTTTGCAAAGGCCGCACAGCTCATTAGTCGCGTCAAAATGATCTGTTAAGAGCGCAAATCAATTAGCTAACGGGTGAAATGTCAAAAGCTTTTAGCCGCCACTGAACTGGATTTCTTTAGAGGAAAAATATTAGTTTTTATTTATTTCGAAGCTGTCAGTAAATTTCAATTATTTCAATAAAAAAATGGTGCTTTATGAAAATTCGGTTTGCTGATGGTTTATACACAGTGGAAATGTCAAACCGATAAATGCAACTGAAACGGCCACAAAAAACATTTTCCGCTAGCACATGGCCGCTTACATTTGCGGTCATTCCTGTCAGTTTTCGCTTTACTACAAATAATATAATATAAAAGCGAACAAACCTCGGTGCATAATTGATAGATGGGTCGAATGGGCAAATAGAACAACGGAAGGCGGGCGGTCCGAAAAGTGTGTTTTTGATAGACACTCCGACACGATACCACACACTATTAGGGTTTATTAAGCGACATCTAATGCCTGTCGGCTTTTTGCTAACACGTCAGTGTTAGTGTGTGTATGTGAAATGATGTTGGGCCTGTGGTTTTTCCATTTTAACGTAAATATTTATTTGTGCCAAATATATGTATGTATATGAAACAAGTGCAAAGTGCAGAGCCGTCAGAATCAGGGCAACTGGCTAAATATTATGGCAGCGGCAGACCGAATATCAGTAGTCATGTTTATTTGAAGCATAATTAAAAACGGCACGAGCTGCGGAAATGCTCGCATGTCAAATATTTACTGACAGCTCGACAGCTCTTTCACAAAACGCAATCTAAAAAGGCCATTGATTTGGATTTTTCAATGTGATTTTTGTTCTCTCAACCCGAATTCGATTAAGTCATTGCGTAGGGATGCATCCCAGAAGCCGTATTAATTTCGCATAAGCTCAGGTCAAAGATGGCACCACCTTTAAATCCGAAGTCATCTGTGGGAAAATATTTACGTGCATACGGGATGAATCTCCGCCGGCACCTGGGCCCATCCATCCTAGAGTCCTCCTCAAAGGCGGCTCGGTACTGGCTAAAAACAAATTTGCCAAAGGCCAATTTTTCTTTTGCTTTTTTGGGGCCGAGCAGTGAGCAGGCCGCCCCCTTTCCACCTCGTGGGCGTGGCCAAATTGGATTTGTCCTGACGTCAACACTCACAAAGTACACCCAGGCAGGCGGAGACTGGGGGTAGGATACTGGAGATGTATAAAGATCGGAGAGGACACACAGGATATGCAAATTTCAAGGTTGAGCCTGCAATTTGGTTTCAATTTTGGAGCATCGTAAAATTGCAATTTATGAAATATCGTAAAGTCGTCGCCTCGTCGATTCCCAGACCAATTAACAGTCCACACAAAGCGAGTCCCTTAATTGCTGCCTTCCGGCCTTTGGAAACTCATTTCCTGCAAAGGGACTAGGCTCCTTTACGGTCACCTCATCCCCTCCCCAGCCCTCAGGCTCAAGGATATATCCTGGGCATACCAATTTGCCTGCTGACAATATGTGCAAGTGTGTTTTTCTAGTATTAATTAACCCTAATTAAGTTCACAACGACCAGAAAGTTCACAACTACAGCAAAGAGAGGGAAAGCAATGGCCGGCGGGCGTGGAAGCATTTCAAGTGAAATGATTAAACATCTGCCGCAGCAGCAGCAGCAGCCGCATGTCACAAGTTATTTTTACTCCTGGCCCAGGACTGCAGGCTACGTCCTGAGACATTTAACGAGAATCCTCTTTGCCCGCACGAATGTGTTGTAAAATGTTTAATTAAAGTATGCAAAGTTGTGTCAGCTGCCGCCATCTGTTTGTAAATAACTTCCGGTGGGGGAATCGCTTTTAAAAATGTGCAAGTCACATCGAATAAATTATGCTCTTTAAGCTTAAAAGTGTATCAGGAGGATATTATGTTGGCTTAAATATATTTAATATGAAGAAATTGAAAAGGGAGAAAGTGTATTTAAACGATTTCATTCTATTTTTGTCATAATTTCAATTACTCCACGTAAGAGTATGAGATTATTTAATTGCCCTGTAGTTGACTTAACTTGGCTTGTTATTTAATTTCTTGTGTGTTCTTGTGCCCGTGTCATGTGACTTGAAACTGATATTTTAATTAATTTTTGGGTAGAGGCCAAAAAGTTTACCCGGCACCCTAACTGCCATAACTTCGGAATGACCAAGTTTTAGCTGGGCTGCTGCCTAATCTGTGTCTTCATTAACATGGCCCCGGGGCCAGGTGGTTCCAATCCCAGTTCCCAAGATCCCCCGAATATGAAAACCCGGGACTGCTGTTGGCTTGTCTTGTATTTGATTGCCTCAGTTGATGTCTACATTTGGGCCAAGTTGCCTCTCTAACGGGTGCTGTGAACTTGTGGTGACGTCTGTGTCTGCCTCCTAACTCGGGTCGCTATTTCAGAATCCATTTTGATTGCGGGAGATCACTTGCACTTGGACCCACCACAGGGGTTGCAGCAGGGGTTGCAGCACGGGCTGCAGCACGGGCTGCAGCAGGGGTTGCAACAAGGGCTACAACATGGGCCGCAGCAGGGATTACAACAGGGGTTACAGCAGGGGTTGCAGCATGGGCTGCAACAGGAATTGCAGGAGTTGCAGGAGTTGCAGTTGTTACAGTTGTTGCAGGGATTGCAGGAGTTGCAGGAGTTGCAGGGGTTGCAGCACTTATTGCACGGACCGCAGCAGCATGGACTGCAGCAAGGGCCGCAGCAGGGGCCGCAGCAAGGACCGCAGCAGGGACCACAGCAAGGACCGCAGCAGGGACTGCAGCAGGGACTGCAACAGGGACTGCAGCAGGGACTACAGCAGGGACCGCAGCAGGGACTGCAGCAGTCATTGCAGCATGGCGAGCAGCAGGGGCTACACATCTTGGATTCTTGCTGCCACGAAAGAAGGTTTGGGTTTTCAGTTGACCTGGGTTAAGATCGTTAAGGATGGCTGCTCACCTTGTACCCGTCAGAGATCACAGGCCTGGGGTAGGGAATTTGGATAACTAGGTGTGACTGCTTCTAACAAAAACGTTTCTACTGCTACCCCGACCTTAGTTAAAAGGCCAGCTTGATCAGCAAGGAATCAAGTCTACTCTGCAAGTCTACCCCTCGATATTCACTTGAATTTCTCACGTTTAAGCAAGATTTAATTGTTAATCTGCTGAAATTTTCGTATAAATGGCCAAAAGCGCCGCATTTGTAATATTACCCATACCACACGTTGCCGAAAGAGAAATTGGAGTGGGGTCACAGGATGGCTTTTAAATGGACATTTAAAACAGCTTGATGACTTGTGGCGTGTGTAGATCTAAAGTAAAAGGAACTCTACTCTCGTTGATTTCGTTTTCACTCTCATTTTCCCTGATTGGAATACACTCTCGTCTCCCCTCGTTCCTCTTACCACACACGTTAATCAACAGTTTCGTGTGGAAATGCAAACTAAGCAAATTTCTGGCATCTGTTTTATTTTGGTGAAAGTTGAGCTAAACACTTGGGTGGGATGCGGCTGCCTCGAGGGCGTTGCTTTGACAAATCACACCACCCCCGCCCGAACCCGAAAAGAGGGCCTCCGGAGGAGCCTCTCCGGCTGTCGTCACTGACAATTGAACGGCTTTGATCTTTTCAGCGCGTCTGTCTCTCTCTCTCCAATTTTTGCGTGTCGATTGCGTTGATTGTGCGAGTGTGCAAGTGTGTGTGTGTGGGTTGCCAGCGGCTATGTCCTTCTGGTCCTTCGGCCAGGAGTGTCGAGCCGTCAGTCGGGCGGTGTATTTGTCAGAGGACGACAACGAGCCTGGCACTGGCATTGAATGCATGAAACCTTTTGTCAATTACGTCGCCCCCAAACCCCGAACCCCGAACGCCACTTCGCACTTCCCATTTTTCGCCGGCTTTCCCCCCCCCCTGCTCCCTGACTATTTTCCTTCTTTTTTTTCGAAACCGTTGGCGTGGCTTTACCTCCCTTGTCAAAGCCAGATTGGCGGGTCAAGGGGGGCAGGAATCCATCCTGAAAGGCAAAAAATAGGCATAGATGAAATGATTGCTGATTTCAGCTATGCATACGCCAGGACCTCACTGCCACTGCCACTCCCAGTGCCACTGCCACTGGCAGTGCCACCTTTTGGGCCATCAAGAGCTCGCACCAATTAAATTGACGTACAAGTGGTCAAACCCGAAATGATTTTACGCTACATTCGCCGTTTTAATTGGAGCACAAATTCCGGCATTCGGTTATTCCTGCCTCGGATCCGGTACCTTTTTTCTGCGATTTAACGTATGCATATCCTGTCATTCAATTTTTCATGCCTGCCATATTGGTTATCATTCCATTGTGAAAACGAATAAGTTTTTTATTTAAAAACTCCCCCGTAACATCTTTATTTGTATTAACATTAAAGGCATTAAAGGCATACCTTTAGAGGCTATTTATGAATTGTCCAAATTTACACACAGCAACTTGACCTCGAGACATATCGATTTCATTGCTTGATTGCATTTGTTTCTGTCTTTACAAGACAAATCCATCTTCCTTTGCAGCGAGTTAAGTGTTTCACCTTAAGTTTAAATGGCATTTCCAATAGACTGCTCTTCGGGGTCAAAGACAAATTGGAATTCACCCAACTGTCACATCTATCATATCTAAACCATTGATTTGCGCGATACTCCAAAACCCAATTCGTGGAGAATTTCAAACTGTCTGCGACAGACACAATTATGTCAAAGTCAAAACTCGAGAGCGGATTTCTGGCTCGCAGTCTCCCGCCAAAAATTAATTTTATACCAAAAATGTTGTGCAGTCATCGGGCAGAAATAAAGGCCCAGACGGAAAAAATCAATTGCTTCGGCTCGGTTTGGAGAGGAAGGAAAAATGTGGAGGCTCGGTTCGTTTTAGCCGAAATTGCCAGTTAATTGGCAATTCAGCAAATAGCATGCGTTTTAGCCGACCTTCCGCATACTGCCAACTCATCGACTTTGGTCCATCCCTTGGCCGTCGGGCGATGTTCGGGGTTGAAAATGAGGCCGCGTATTGGCCCCGCCGCACAACAATCAATTTTAATGAACGGCATTCATTAAAAAACTTTGCAGCAGTGCGAAAATCATGATGGTGATGATGTCGCCCGGCAGCCACTTAAGCGCCGCTGATTAATTTGAAATCGAAGAGCTAAAAACGGACATTTGAAAAACATACAAGGACGTGTGTGTATCTGATGTGCTGATGCGGATGTAAGAGGAAGCCGCAGGACACCCATCAGCTGCAGAGGTGGCCAGCTCCCTCTTAGCCACACAAGTTCTGTGCGGTTAGACCTCCTTCTTCGCCTGCTCCTGACATGGCGGTTTTGTGTGGATCTGGCTGGGACGCCATACACTTATTTGCCACGTTCTCGTTCAATGTTGTTAACTTGTCGCTGCTGTTGCTTCTAAAGGGACAAGTAAACGCGGTGGCTGGGATATATAAAGTGGGACAAATTGGGGGAAAATTAAGGAGCCCCGTGAATGGCTTATTCAACGTGTTTAATGTGTTTCCTTCTATTTAAACCCAAAAAACAACTTCTTCTAGTTGGCTTCATTGCAAAATGGAATAAGTATCTTAGATTTTAATACTTCCAAAGAACTCAGGTTATGAAAATACAATACGTATATAATATAAAAATATATAGTTACTTTACACACAGTTGAGTTATACAAACACCTTGGCAGCAACTCAATATTCATTCCGAATTTCTTCTTGGAAATTTAACCGGCTGAATAAACTTACACTTTGTAAGGTCTTCAACGTTTCATTAATAAAAGAAAACAAACTTTTGAAAAACAATTCAATTCATGATTTCTAACAAAGTTATTATTTTTCTCAGTAAATGTATGCAAATTAAAGCCTAGTGTTTGCCAACAGCTTTAATGCCCAATCAACCGACACACACAATGCCCCATTCCGAACTCTGACCCAAACCTAAACAGCCGCATCGGTAGCGCCTTGTACGTGACATGTGCTTTGGCGAAATCGAAGCCCAAAATTGTCATTTCGATTAACAAGAAATCCACTTTTCTCTTACTTTTTCTCTCGTTTCTCTGGGCCTGCCCCAAATCAATTTCAGCATCGCTCACACAGACGTCGGCAGAGGCGGCCAGAGGAGGAGGAGGAGGAGGAGGAGAGGCATCTGGAACGGCAGCGTCATCGGCAGCATCCACGGCCATCAGTTCCGATGAGAACGGCGACCCATCATCGGCGACCGCATTCGCCAGTCTGGCTCAAGTGTCCTCGCTCCTGCCGGAGGCATCCGCCTTTTCGGCGACGGCGGGCCTCGTGGAGCCGTATCTGGATGGCTATGCCACCTCGAATGTGACCACTCAGATCGGGACACACGCGTATCTGCCCTGTCGGGTGAGTGCTTCTCCATCTGCCCATCTCTCCCCATCCCTAAACCATCTATCTCTCTTTGCCAAGCCAAACAAGCTAAACTAGCAGAAAAATAAATTCATAATTTCTGGTTTATTTTCCCTTTTTACTGCGCTACAGTCTAACTTCCATTACTCAAACTTTGCCAAGTGAAACACATTAAACTTGAACTAAACTAATCTTACAAATAACATAAATTTGCATATCTGGAGGGATAAAAACTTTTACTTTATCAAGAGGTTTTTAGCTGTTTAATTTTTACTTGCAGTATCTACAGTTTTTCTTTAAAATTTTGACTTTATTCTCTGGGTTGCTATATCATAGAAAATCTAACATATTCCAGTTAAGCTGACTAGAGCAAAAAATAAAATTATAACTAAATTAAATGCAAGATTTTATCTGGATAATTCCCGATAGTTTCCATAAAGGAAGTTCTCCTGTAAGTCCGCATACAAAGTTGCGTGCTGGCTTGTGGGGGTCTGCGTGCGTGTTTTTATTTGTAATTATTATTATTATTGTTGTTGTGGCTGGCCTCATCAGCGTGGCCAGGTCCTGGACCTGGCCGGAGCCCTAATAGAAAACACATTAAATTTTATTGCGTAAATATTTGTTGGATCCCCCTGAACCACAAGCGCGACACAGGGGGAGTCGCCGGGGGCCAAAGGACGCACGAGGACGAGGTGTGACCGCAGCCTGTGTATTTAACGCAAGGCTCAAAAACAAATGCCAAACAAACGTGGCCAAGACTCTCTCTCTCGGGCGATTTCTCACACGCTTTCCCATTGTTTGCGCAGGTGTTTAAAGGCCATCAGGAAAATCCGGGGGAAAAGCCGAGGCGAGGTGTACGGGGGAAATGGAAAATACCCGTGGCACGCAGCCAGGCAAATTGTTTGCTTACAAGTTGTAAATATTTTATTTAGCATAAACGAAAACTGAAAATTAAATTTCAACAAATTAGTTTTACGGCATCGGTGCCAAGTTTCTCGTTTTGGTGTCGAGGTCAGCCGCGCTACGTGACTCAATTGCCAAATGGGAATGGTCGGCTAATTATTTAGTATTTACTTAATTTGGGCATTGAACCAGGGATTACATTATTTCACACTCCCTCAGCCATTTGTTTAGGCTTTGTGCGAAAAGTAAATATAAAATTCACAAGTAAATGTCCGCCGGCAGTCAAGCTTTACTGTTTTTTAAATCTGCTGAATAATAAGCCTTCGTCTATGGCTTACGGCAAAAGTTTAAATGAAAAAAAAATATTATCAAATATAAGTGTTTAAAAAATAAACAGAATCTTTTGAATACAAAAAGGTAGAATGTAACAGAATACCATAAGTAAATTTTGAATTACATCGAATTTATCACAGATTTTATTCTTAGATACTATTACGTATAATTTTAAATTGTAGAAATAATCTAAAAATAAGATTTAAGTTAATCTTGTTACCAAATATATGAATAAGATTGTTAAATGATAAAAAACACTTTACCATCTTATTACGGATTTCTTCCATAAGCCATCTTAGCTACTTTGGCCCCTAATTGTATAAGATTTTTTTGTAGGCCCTATGGAGAATTATTTTCAAAAGAAAATGTATTCCCAGAACACATTAATCCACGAGCTCCAATTTCCGTCAAAGAACAAAAACATTAATCGCGGCGGCTGAAATATTTAATGCATGCTGGTGGGGCCGGGCGACCTGGGTCCTGTAATTTTCCAGCCGAGCAATGTTAATTTCTTGTTGTCATGGTCAATTAAGTGCTCCTCCGCAGAGTTCAGCCCACGACAGCCTAGACAGCTTTGCCGGCCTGCTCCGTCCTGCCGAGCCATCAGTTGCCGATCCCGGAATGAAAAGTATAAGACTCGCATCTCAATTTTCGTCAATTACTCGTCGTTGGCTTTACACTTTATGCCCGTCGAGGATGACACGCCCAGTTTGTTCGATGCTCCTTTGGTCTTCCTCCATGCTTCGTGCTCCATTCTCCTGGTGCCTTTCATTCCATTCTCTGTTCAAATGCTGCATTAAGTGCCACAGTTGAGTGAGTCCTCTTAGCCGAGAGGGACAAGGCGGGAGCAAAGTAGAAGCCAGGAGCAAGGGCAACGACAGGACTCAGACAAGAATTGGTCCTCGGTCCGCTTCTTTTCAAATTGGCCTCACTGGCCGGGCACTTCGATGACATCAGGTGGAGCAGCACATCCTTTCGCAAATGGCTTATTTGAAATATTCCAAGCAGCAGCTTATATGTAATTGTGGAAACTTACCTTAACTTTTGTTCCGGCCAGAGAATGTGAGCTTCAATTAAATGGAGGAGTACTGATTTCCGATATCGTTGCCATCGAATGCAATCTCGGAATGGTATTTTCCACAAAACCAAATTAGTAATCCGACTGCGACCGGTCCGAGGCCCAATTAAATGCGACACATGCAACGGGCTCCTAATGAGACCATTACATCGGAATTACAGGGCGGTGACAGCAGCTAAACATTTAATGGATCCCCTACTCGTACCTCGTGGCGAATCCTAAGCCCCGAAACGGAATCAGGGACTAGAGTGTCGAACGGACGAAAGCATTTCGATGCAAACAGAGGAGCTGCTGTGTGTGCGGCGCCTATAAATGCATTTTAGATTTACTAACTACGACACATTTCGATATTATCTGAAACATGCGGATGCCTCTGCATCTGGGCCGGCCTCTGTGTGCCTATTGGGACATGGGTTTGTCTATCTGTCTGCCGGCTTAATGTTCATTTCGGTATTTAATTACATTTCAATGTAGTTTCTGTGGGAAGCCACTCCCTGCTTTCCTCCAACCCGATGCTTCCACCAGTTCGTCTGCAGTAATTTACTCTCGTGGGTGTGGGTGACATTTCTCTTCCACTTGTTGAGCAACTCCCACGTAGACCTGCCAAAATCACCAGAGGTTGGCCGTCCGTATGGTTAATGGAGCGCATACTTAGTCCTGGAGTTGGGAGGCTTAATCTCATTAAAGGAAATTCAGGTGGAGCCGTGAGGCAGTTGTTGTGGCCAATATTTACTAGCTATATAATGGCCAAGTTTGCACAATAATATTACTAGGATAGTATTGAATCATTTCTCTATTACAAATTTTAATTATCTAAGGCATTTGTCATATAATGTATTCAGTAAAATTGGTAACAAATATAACAAGCTGCTAATAACAATAACAACCAGATTACGCCGATGCTTTTAAAATGTAACATATTTCTTTAAATAAATAAAATCACAGGAATATATACCTACTGTTAATGTTCTTTTTTTACCCACCCATTTATTACCGAGTCCATTTAATTTTTAATATTAATGTAAAATCTATAAAGTCCCAGCCGCAATAATCCATTCATATTTCTCTCTTATTCCCACAGGTCAAGCAGCTGGGCAACAAATCGGTGTCCTGGATCCGACTGCGGGATGGACACATCTTGACCGTTGACAGGTAATTAACAAACTCATTTCCTGGCATTTGAGAGCGGCCCTGGACGTGTTTCTGCTGACAATTACAAATCAATTCTCACCCGTCCCATCCAGAGTCGTTAATATCGATGTCCGTTTCTGGTTGCCTTGGGGACCCGCTGCTGTTATTTTGCTTAATTGACAGCACAAGTGCTACAAACACAATAATTTACAGACGAGCATAAATATTTGCGTAATTACTGAGATACAGGCGCAGTTTCCAATGCCGCGTACTTAAGTGTACATATTTGCAAGTGATTTACTGATGGCCATCGCTCTGTCAGAGACATTCCTGGCATATGCATGAAAATAATAATTGGCAGTCAGCAGTAGTGACATTTGCCAATTATAATATTATGAGTTGTGAAAATGCGGCCACAAAGTCTGAATTTAATGACAGCCAAACGAAGCAGATCAATGACCCGTAGACATTGACCTAAACCGAAAACATTTAATCTTAAATGCCTGAGGTATGGGATATAACATTGCATTTCAATTAAATGCTATATTCCATAATTTTGGTATAAGTTGATTCCTCACCTGCAGGTCACCTTAAAGTCTTGTCTAAATCTAGATAAACACTGGACATTTTGTGTCTCCTTGTACATATTTCTGTAAATTCAATTGAGGCGAAAACCATTTAGAACAAAATTGATTAAGAGCACTAACTCGGCAGCATCCGAAGAGCCTTTTCAATTCCAATCTGCGTGTCCTAGAGCAGCAGTTGCAGGTGTGTCATCAATGATTCCAGCTTGTGGATGCCTGAATGCTGGATGTTGATTGTGGAGATGTCCTTTCTGCCGTGTTCCCTGTATGACAGGCGAAGCGGAAACGCAAGTGTGCAATTTCATTGCATTTTTTCTCCCTTCCTCGAAATCCAGTAAAACTTTGCTACAAACTGTCTCCGACTCGGCATGTTGTTGTTTCTCAGTCTGTCTCTTTCTTGGCACTGAGAAAAATATTATTATAAGGATGGACTAACTTTTCAAAACATTAATAACTTATGGAAACACCAGTATTACTTATCAATTTCGATGATATCAACTAATTAATGGTTAGAAATTATATTTTTATTAGCCATCTTAGCAGCATTTCTCTATGTGCATGCCCCACATCCTGTGTTTTAGCCACGTTTGCCTTTTGGGGGCGTATTGAGCTGCAGGGTGGCAAGGCAAACATTTCCAGCTTATTACTTTGATAGAAAAGTAAAACCAATGAACCTTTCACATTAGATAAGACAGCCAGCCTGTTTGTCGTCCTGGCGGAGTAGCTGCTCGCATATGTGTGTGTGTGTGTTTGAGGGCCCTGGACCGCGCCAGGGAGTGTGTGGCAGGACTCTGTGAAAGCCAGGATGAATGGCTGGGCTGGAATGAATGACTGGCTGGCTGCAGGCAAACATTGCTGGGCGGCGAGCATTGAAATTTAGCCGAGATAGTGTCCTTACTGATTGCTTCCTGCAGTGCCCACCAGAGCGGGCTCCACGGGTCCTCCTGCCCCAGTTAGCCGCCCATCCTGGGGCCAAGTCTTCCTGCATTTGCTGCTTCCGCCGCCAGATGATTGTGTGCGTCGAGTCGAGGCGAGTCGCAGCGAGCGATTTCTTTCCTGCTACTGGAGCAGTGTCTTCTGTCACATTTATCTAGAAAGTTTTCTTTTTGCCCCGCTCGAAAGGAGCCCAACTGTTTGTCCTTCGCCAGCAGTTTCCCGGCATATCAAGCATAATGGGAATAGATTTCAAAAACTTTCAGGATGGAGTGTGCTGTATAATAGCGCAAATGATGTGTTTACACTATCATATAAATGTCACGTGCAATGGCGCCCTTTGTTTGCCACTGGACACATGCTCTCCCCAATTTATAGCCCGCTCTCCCTCGCCCCCAGTCGCCACAATGGATTACTTGCCCCAAAAGGCGGAGCAAGGAGCAAGTCCTTGGGCGGCGGTTCTGGTAATTACCCATCCAGGTGTTGCTCGGCTACTTTGTTATCTCTTATCTGGGGAGACACCACAGACAGACCACGTGAGCCACCCACGCACCCATCCACCCAGGAGCTGCATGTGCAGCAGGAGATGAGCTGCCTCTTAATGGGATTCTCCGAGTGGCAACCACAACAAGCTGCAACGGCATCGCCTGATGAGATAACCGAAGCGGAGGAAATGAAATTCTCCGGCGAGGGGAGAGAATCATTGCACATACTTGTGCGTCTGAGGTTAAAGTGAAAAACTCCTTTGATGGCTGCTGCGAAAGGACACCCTAGCCAGCAGTTTTCCGGAAATTATTTACCTTTAGGGAAGGACAGTCTTTCGAATTTAAAGCTGAGAAGGTCTTAAAATAACACAAATAGAGCTAATCAATTGAAAAGTTTCGAGTTTTCAGTAGCCAAGATTGCATGGTTATACATAAAATATATATATTTAAATGCTTTTTCTTAGGCAAGACTCTTGACATATTATATAAATCGAAAAGGCTGAAAGATCTTCGTAGCCTTAAAGTTTGAATAAAACATTTGCCCAAAAGCTAGTCTCAGCACATTCCATTCTTTTGAGCCCTTGGTGTAAACCCCTAAACTCCACACAGAATTCCCAGAAATCTCAATGGGATCACCCATTTGATTAGGCCACTTGAAGGAATGTTTGTTGCATGCAACCAACTAACTAACCGGAGTATCCGAGTGGCCCTTTCAAAGGGAAAGCAAGGCGGACCGGCGCACACAGAGTTTCCTTTTTCAACAATAAATTGCAGATGGAAACTTATGCGGCATCGGGTCACTTCCCAGCACTTGAGCAACGAGAAAGCCACAAAATAAGGGACAGGCCGAAAGGAGTTGTATAAAAATATATGTGGCGACTATGGTACAACGGAGGACTCCGAGCCGAAAAAAACGAGACCGGGAAAAGTCAAGCGCTGCGGGGAAAACTTTAAAATGAAATGAAAATTATAAAGTAACTACAAAATCTTGATAAGGAATTCGGCGAGGGGTGTATAGTTTAGGGGGAGGGAGGAAGCACGGACATCGAGGAAATGGCAAAAGTCATAAAATGTCGAGTTTTACGAGTGCAAAACGCAAGGGTCTAATCTGGGTTTAGCATCAAAACTTGTTAGTGAGGGGCTGTATGACCGGGTCCACGGGGTGGGTCCAAGTCAAGAGTCGGTTTTAGGGCGCATAATAAGCAATGTCAACGCATGTGTGCAGTGGGCGTGGCCGAGGCGACTGCCTCGCTGCATTTTAGCCAAATGACGGAAGCATTTTTGCACTTTAGGCAAAGTGCAGAGGGCAATTCCACAGAGCGTAGGGAGCCAGCCTTGGGGCTAGCAACAAGGAAGAAGGAACAAAAATATTGCAACAATGACATTAAACACAACTTATTTTAGTACTGTGTTCCCCTTCCCCCCCTGAAAAGCAACAACATTTGCATGCTGCCCCAAACACGCAACATTGTATTCAACCCTCTCTTCTCTCACTGAGTTGCCGCTTAAATGCCGCAACTAAATAACTTTGAGTGTCTTTTGAGTGGCCATTAGTAGCGGACTTAGCGAGGACTCGACTAAGTGGGTCTGCTGCCATTGTTCGTTTGTTTAGTATTTATGCTATATGGGCGCTTAAAGTCCGTTGGAATGGTCTGTGGCTGCCAGTTACCTTGTAGCTTCCCTGTTACCTGTTTATTGTTACCTTTAGTTGCAGCTGTATTATCTAAAAAGAAGCATAGAAGTGTTTATCCAACTCTACAATGCAGGGCAACATTTTTTAGACTTTTGAAAATCATAAAAATATATAAAATAGCTTTTTGCTTAAAAGTTGGAATTGATTTTAATAACTTTTCTAAGTAGCCTTTACTTACGATGTATTTTCCTCTTTTCCAGAGCCGTCTTCATTGCCGACCAGCGATTCCTGGCTATTAAGCAGCCGGAAAAGTACTGGACACTGCAGATCAAGTACGTCCAGGCTCGCGACGCTGGATCCTACGAGTGCCAGGTGTCCACGGAGCCAAAAGTCAGTGCGCGTGTCCAGCTGCAAGTTGTGGGTAAGTCAGGGCCATGGGCACGAGGCCATGAACATGATCATGAAAACGAAATACTTGGACTTTCGGTTATGAATATGAGCTTGTGGCCAGACATGGGTGCTCTTCGGGTGAGTTGGAGTGTGTAATTTGGGCGGAGGGCGAAGGTCAAGCGGCCGCAAATGCGAAAACTTTGCAGCCCCCTCACAAAGGGCAGGGCCACACATGAGTAGAGAGGCCGAGATGCTTGCATGTTCCGTGCGGCTGCTGCTGCATTTCAAATTACTCACTAAATTGCATTCAAATTGCGGCTGCTGACCATTGCCCATTGAAATGCTCAAAAGAAGCAAACAGGACAAAAAAAAGAAATGAGTGAGGAAACACACACTCGCCCCGAAAACAGACGGAGCATTTCTTTGGTCGGTCAAGTTTTTTAACGAGAAAACTTTTACGTGCTGGATTCTGGTTTTCGGTTCAGGCTCTGGCCAGGCTCTCACTCTGGTAAAAAGTTAATTAAATGTCATGTTTGCATACCGGAAGGAAAGGCAGCAGCAGCGGCAGGCCAAATGAACAATGTAAATGTCAGTCGGGGGCAGCGGTGCATGTGCCGGGTGGTCCTGTAATTGATATGAAATGACGCACATATATTTATCTGCACTCCACAATAACAACCGCATAGCTCCGGGCCAGGACACACAGAAATCAGTGTGAATATTTTTTGGCCACTCGTATTGGATTCCGAATTGTATCTATGACACGGATGCATTCATTCGAATGGATTGCTGTTGCAACTTTCCCAGGCTATCTGTCCGTTTTGCGGTTGAGCTTTGTTTCACGCCGACATTCCTTGGGGCAAAATGGCACAACTCTGGCCGGGAATTATAGCCTCGTTTCGAATTCCTTGACAATTTAAGGTCAATTTACTCGCTCTCAGATAGCAACGACAGGGGGGCGCAGAGCTGGGCGCAAAGCAGTGAAAGTAAAAAGTCAATTTGCATTTGAAGCCAACAAATTGAATTTTCTTTTATCCAACTAACACTTTGGTTTTATGGAGATCCAGCCCAAGGAGCTGCCTGACTGCCTGCCTGTCGACAAAAAAAAAGGACACACGCTGAGCTGCGGCAAAAGCTGGGGTAAAAAGAACAGGGCAAGGGCAATAGACTGGATAATGGTGTTGCCAAAAAGTGATTTTCGCATTTCCGGCTCAGCTAATTTGTATGCTAAACACTTGCGCATGTATGCCACAAACCCATGTGTGCGTGTACACAGTACACCTTAAATAAAAGTCACCAAAAATATAAAGATTTCGTAAAAATTCTAACGAGTTTTTTGAAAACTAAATTTAATTTAAAATTTTATGAAAATGTATTTCATTTATAAAAAAAAAAATTTTGCTTCACAAACTGTATTACTTTGTAAAATAATGAGAGTCCACTTTTTTTTTAAGGTGTTCTCTTGGAAAATTCGTAAGGAAAGCTTGGGCGTGGCACCCAACAGGTATCCATCTGGAGCCAAGAATATTCGCCCAGCTGAATTTTGTATGCGCGGCCACATTTGCGTTAATCTAACGACAAGTTTAAGCATAAAGGATTTCTATTCATGCCCGGCAGGGATTCGGCTATCTGTCTCTCGCTCTCTCGCCCCGATCTGTCGTCTCTGTCTGCTCGGCCATTATTTGCAGTCGTTTGGCCTTCATCCATTTCCATTGCCATTTCCACAGCCCCGGCCCGGTCCGGTCCAATCGGCCTTTGTTTGTTTGAAGTCGAATTCGGCTGTGCGTGGCCCTTCCGGTTCCTGTTCCTCTTCTGCTCTGGCCCACTCTGTTTTGCCTGCTCCTTTTCGACCAATTCGACCGGCCATAACCATTATCGGCAGCACCTATTCACCGCCACCCCTTTGCAGTTTTTCGCACTCGCTTTTCCCAGCAGCAGCAGGAGCAGGAGGAGGAGGAGGAGAAGGAGGAGCAGCTTCACCCACACCCTCCTTGGTGTCGCGCTGCTTGGCTGATTTTGTGCCTTTGCCATGTAATTTGTATTTATTGCATCGTTTTGTCTGTGCAAACGGCCAAAACTCCCTTTGCATGTTGTCGATTTTTGCGCCACCCACCGAGGCAGAGTCCACCCAGGATCAGCCCCAAGAACCCCCTTTGATTTCGATTCCGAGTCTTTGGCAATGGGTTTTATGTTGAGGCTGTGGCCTTTGCCAGCCTGCTGCTTGATTTCTGGGCCAGATTCGGTTCTGGAGCCAAAGTTGGGGTAATAGGCTCGTAGTTTTCGGTCAATTTGTTATGTTAGCGGGGGCGGGGGCTGGGGATGGATGCTTGTTTGCTTTGTTGCTGGTTAAAATGTCAGTTTCTCTGGTTTTGGTTCATTTACTCAAGTTTCTAGGTCACCGAAATGGGCAGCACAATGGAGCCAAATCGTTGTTAAAGCCCTAAAAAAGAAAAAAAAAGTAAAAGCATCAAGTCTGCTTAACCGAAAATGTTTGTAATAATCTTTTAAACTTTCGCCGGTTAACTTGGCAGATTTATCTTTATTACAGAGAGCATTTTCCAGCGGAAAAACACTTTCACATCCACCGTGGCCCCCACACACACACACATACACATGAATGTGGAATGAATGAATATATTTTTTTCTGCATCATTGAACGACAAACTAGATTTGGTTTTATGAGATTCGCTTTCTGCCCAGCTCATCTCATCCTCCGGGCTTCAGTTTTCTTATTCATTCCAAGCTGGCTCGGTCTGCTTATTTAATTTGCTGCTAATCTCGTATGGCCAAAGCCAATTTCGGGGTTTTCTTTTGGTTTTACTTTGCTTATACATATATCTGGGGAGGATGCCTTATCCCACCATCAGAAGTGACAATATCCCTGTGATGTCTGCGCACCTCCCCCGACTAATTTCCCTAAAAGCATTTCGCCATAAACTCAATTAATTTAAGTTGCTGCAATTCGCTTGACACTCTTAACCAAGTCCATTCCCTCGACTGGCGGCCTTCCCTTTGTGCTCGGGAATTAGCTGAAAGTGCGGTCAAAACTTTGCAAAGTTCTCGGGCTTCTGCGGTTTTCATTCGGGGTTCGCTTTCGACGGCGTGTCAATAATATTTCTAAAGGTGCAGCATAATAGTTTGGCTATCGACGATGTTAATTAAATTAATTGGAAAATGTGTCTTTAGAAACACTTGACTTTACTGCCATTCAGATTGGTAAGGGACATTGGTTTTCTTTATTCCTGTGAAGGGAGGTAAATAAAAAGAACATAAAAAAGTTTTGCTAACTTTCTAAGCTTTAATATACTTGGCTAAATGAATTTTAAACTTTAAATTCTAATTACCCAAACCCCCATCTAGCTAAACTTAATTAGGGCCATATGCGTGTCGCAATTTGCAAAATTTTCATTTCATGTTTTGCTGCCTCGAAAATTACTCATCCATAGGACAAGGGGAATCCCCAGGGCCAAGCTGCGTGGGTGATAAAGTAGAGCGTTTGCTAATAACATTGCACTTGCTGCTGCTTCAGCTGACATATTTTTTTTTCCATTTTCCTAGTTTTTTTTTTGCGCTGCTGTGTCGCGAATCTCCAGTCAAGCAGCTGGAAAACTAACATACAACAACATGATGATTTTGACAAGCTGACACAGTTTGGTGTCAAACCAGAGCATGGCGCGTGTTCCACGACTGCATATGTACATCTATATATTCGCATGTACAAACGTCGATATATGCGGCTCTCAAAGGTACAACTCTGAGCAAAATAATAGTGATATTTTCCAAATAAAAAGTCAAAGTACTTGCCACTCAATTTTAAAAATTAAGAAGCTTGAAAATGTAGGAAATATTTTGATAAAAAGTAATCCGTATCAGCCAACCTTTAGCATAAAATATTTGTCTTTAACATGTTGTTTCTCTGAACAAAAATTAATATCAAAATCCTTTTTCATATGATTTTCCTTGACCAACATATTCTTTATTACTTTTTAAATATTTTTAAAAATGTTTTAAAAAGGCTGTTTGCTGTAAATGTATTTTTCACATATTAAAAAAATATATATATAAAATCTGACGATAGGAAAGTAATCAAAATAAGCAAACCGTTTGCTTAAAATATTTTTCATCAAAATGTTGTTTACTCTAAACAAAAATTAATATCAAAATCCTTTTTCATATGATTTTCCTTGGCCCACATATTCTTTATTACTTTTTAAATATTTTTTAAAATGTTTTAAAAAGGCTGTTTGCTGCATCTGGAACTACATAACTTGCTAGATACTCTCTTGGGCATTTTGTGTAAATTCTCGGCGCACTCATTTTGCACATTTTTGTGTAACAGCAGTGAAAACTCGGCGTATACGTGATTTTGTCAAATTTCAAAGCTCACGTCGCTGCACGTTGCCCAAGCAAATGAAGACGCCCAGCTCGAGGATGCGGAGGAGTGGGTTGTGGTGCGGGGAAGGTCGTGTGAAAATGTATGCGCCAACATTTCCAACTTGTTTTCGTTTTGTGTGCTTTTTATTCACCGCCTTTTTTGCTGCTGCTTTTCTTCTATTTTTGTTTGAAACAACTCTTAGTTTGTTATGCATGTGCGTGTCTGTTGGCCAAAAATCACCCCCGAAGGCGGGCCGGGCCAGAGGGACATCCGGGGGTAGTTCATGCCAGAGTCAGTAAGTGAAAAATTGAAAAGTGGATTTTCTTTGGGCACAGCCAGGAAGCAGCGGAGGTGAAGTGCCGCCCTGCCACAGCCAGATTTACGTGTGCGACGTGACTCGCAGCTGTTAATTCAATAGATTAGCGAAATGACACAATTTGGGAGCCCAGAATTTGCCACTTCCACGCTCATTCGCTCTCTCTGTTTTTTTTTTTTTTTTTCTGTTTCTACAGTTCCCCGCACAGAGATCCTGGGCGAGCCGGACCGCTATGTGAAGGCAGGCAGCAACGTGGTGCTCCGCTGCATCGTCCGCGGCGCCCTGGAGCCGCCCACTTTCATCATGTGGTACCACGGCGCCGAGCAACTGGCGGCCGACTCCCGCCGCCATCGCACGCAGCTGGATCCTAACCTGCCGGAGGCCTCCGGCGAAGGCCAGAGCACGGTGAGTACACTCAGCGGAACAGCAGATAAGATGAATACCAAACACGGTTTAGAGTTTTCTGAAATTAGCTCAGTTAACCTGGCAAAATGTATATAAAATAATTTAGAGCTCTGTCAAATGAACCTGTTTCTTTTCACTTTAATTATTAATAATGTCTTGTTTTTTCTTTAGATTATCTTTCTTTATAAGACGTATTATTTATAACTTTAAAAACTTCTCAAGAAGATTTGTATTTATTTGGGTTTCTTTTAATTTTTTCGCCATCTGTAACTTCAAAGCCTCGCTTTCTCCCGGCTCCATTTAGCCAGAACACAAAGACTCCCTTGTTGATTTTAATTTAATTACTCTCAGTTTCCAATGGCTTCTTGGCTCCTGCTACATTCTGCCACTGCCAAGCATAAAAAAAAAATAACGAAAATTATAATATTGTTTCGCAAAAGTTTCAGTTTTGTCGCATTTCGCCTAATTGCCTTGGCCATAACTTTTTGCCCCCCGTGCCAAGGCTCGAAAAGTCTGTTCCGGCGCGCATGCCAAATATTTGGAATACGTGTGCCCATGTCCGAATGAAAACTGCCTGTGTTTATCTTTACTTTCCGAACTTTTCCTTGGGCACTTGAATCCGCCACTCTGTAACTGTATGTGTGTGTTTTTGTGTCCTTTTCCCCTGCTGCAGATTGGCTCATTAATCATCGAGTCGGCCAAGAAGCGCGATACTGGCAATTACACATGTAGCCCGTCGAATAGCCCCAGTGCGACCGTAACGCTGAACATAATAAATGGTGAGTTCCAAAGCCAAAATTTGTGCATAGAGAAAAATATTTGAGCACACGGAATGCTGTCTTATAGCCCAGATTAACTGGAATATTCAGCATTTTTCTGTATAATCAAGGCTTATTTTTGTTCAGTGTAGAAAAGATATTTGATTTCTTCTTCTGAATTCTCTTAGGCGAATCATCGGCCTCGGCGGTCACCTCGTCGGCAGCCACCACCCGGGCCTATGCCCTCAGCATCCTGGCCCTCCTATTCGGCGTCATCATCATCGGAGTGGGCCATCGCACATGACATGTCACGGCTCCCAAGCCGAACTGAAGGCCAGGACAGCAGCAGCTACTACTCGGTAGTGAGGAGAAGATGGGGAACCCACAACTCTGCCAACGGATAAAGTATAAAACCAAATAAATTTGATAGACACCCACACACACATAGCGGAAGAGGAGGCGAAATGGAGTAAACGTAATAATCGAGTGCATGTTGTAAGCTAGTTGATTTTATCCACTAACTAATAACCAATACGTATAGAGGATAAGTCCATAATCCCCGGATTACCGCTGGCAGTTTCGAGACCCAAGACCAGAGACCCTAACCCCCGAACCTTGAACCCTGCACCCCTAAACCCTGGCCCCTAACCCCAGCTAATTGTAAGTTCTACCGGCTCTAAGCAAACTAGCTTGTAAGCCCCTAGTCTTAGGCAGACTCCTACTAACTGATTTCTGTTGTGCCGTTCTTGTTTTGGTTTTTCGGTTGAGGTTCGTTTTCGGTTTCGGGGAGCTTTGTTTTGTGGCAAATACCGAGAAAGTTTGCATAAATGCATAACCGTAAATATTTATGCAGTCCGATGTGAAATTGCATCGATATCCTGAACCCATTCGGGCCGCATGAGTGAGTCGGGGAGTGTGGCGGGGCGCAGGAGGAGCAATTGCCATCAAACGAACGCATTTTTGAAAAACAGAAAAAAAAAAACCAAATCAACTCGAATGCATTTGCATGGCAATTGGAGTCTGGAACAACATTTGCCGTCTCCTTCCTATGTGAACTTTTCAATTAGGCAAATCTCTGGCACTCCTCGCACTCCTCTTGCTCTACGGATGCCCAGGCAGTTGTTGAATATTTATTATTTGTAGCAAATACTACTAGAGTTCGTTTCGAGATAGAACTTTCCTCTCTTCAAATTGTATACCCAGGAATAGGCCGTCCCAAGGATCAGAGGAGTCTATATGCTTTTCGAGGAGTTTATTTAACATTATCCATCTATTACACACGGCACCACGCCCACAACCACAACTATGAACTGTCCGATATGTGTGGGACAACGTAAACATTTGCATAGCCAATTTATGGAACTCTATTTTATGTGCTCTTATCTCACGAACAAGCTCGAAACATGCGGGAAAAAGCAAAGTGCATAAAATAAATAATTGCATGGGGTGGAAAAAATTATAGCAAATACATAGGCATTGATCGAAATGGACAGCCGACACAGAATGTAACAGAAAACAATGCGAAACAAAAAGCAAAAACAATTTAATTGATAACGAAAGTAAATTTATTGTGTGAAGCGGCGGACTGACTCGCGAACTGTATATAACTCTATTGCGAAACTGTTCGACAAAATTGTAAATTAATTGAATATACAAATAATATAAATGGCAGATCCCAAGCAGAGAAGTATTCCAAACACTAATGAATTGCATTTAAACGATACAAATAAATAAATATATATAAATGAATAAATAAATAAATAAATACACAACAGACAAGGAAAACAAAGGCAGTCAAAGAAACAAGTGAAATGAAATCAAACGGACAAAATGTAAACATCGTGTGCGGCCCGAACCCGCAGGCCCGGCTCGTATTTATTTATCCACTTAACGTCCTTTTTAATTACACACACTCACACATGTACACACACATCCTGCAGCTCCGGCAAATCCCATAAAAATCGTCTGAAATTAATTAAAGTTGTCTCTGCTCTCGGTCTCTGGCTTTGCGTGGAAATGGAGGCTGCTGCAGCGTCAACTTAATTGCAATTAGGTGCATGCCACGCACAGGCACTCGCTCCCCCACTCCGACTGAAACAATGCCATCAAAGCGGCATTAATTATGTGCGATTGTCCCAAGGTGGCCGCCATCTGTCACACCCCGCGTATACTTGATGTGTTCGCGCCTTTCGGCGTTTAACGAATTGATCCCTGAGCCCCTGAAGCCCGAGCTAACCGCAAGCAGCTGTGAGGTGAGCAAACACACACTTTGCCACTGGGCGAGACGGAGAGCCGCGGAAATAAATATCTGCGGTCAATATTCGAGGCGGTGGGTTTATTTAACCGGGGATTCCTTCCACGGCTGTGGACAATTAACACATTCCCGCTTGCATGCATCAAATGCTTGCGGTCTGCGGCTAACCGCCTTTGAATCACCCAACCTCACCCCTCTCCCCCACTTCATGCGCATTAAAACTTAACTTTTAGCCTTTAATTTTCCCGCCAAAAAGCCACCCAACGACCAGTTGGACACCACACACACACGAAACATACCATAAAACTGAATGTTGAACAATGAAAGTTTGTTAGATTTAAGCGGTATATATATGACCACAGAAAGTACTATAAAAATCAAAATCAAAATACATTTCTAAGCTCTTAAGTGTTTTTCATCAGCTCGATTAACGTATAGCTCGGCATACATACGTGTAATTTTCCACACCCCCCAACTAATTGTAAATAAAAAATCGCAGAAGCCCCCTCCAAGTCGGGGAATACATTTTAAAGACAGTGTACTCATGATATAGCAAAGTTTACTGTTAAGTACCGACTAATAACGAACGAGAATACTTACACATACATATGTAAACGAAACTAAGAACTATGTGAACTTTAACTGACAAATTTATTGAATTACATACAATAAAATAATAAAATTGAATAACTTAACAAGGTCTTTTCATTGCCTGTGTCTTGGTTTTAGGGTAAGTATACAAATCGTAAAAAATTATATGTCGTTGCTGTATGATATATACATAACTTTTGTTTGGTTTCTAAAGGTATTGACAAAATTAGGGTGAAGATAAAATGAAAGTTTATTAACAAAAAGAGCAGAAGCTTTGATTAAACAGACTTGAAATCCAGTTTAAAAGTTAACATACATTCTCTGAAATTTTAAAATTAAATAGCATAGGAACTTCTTCTTTATTAGCATAAATTTACTTATTCTTAAACTTTTCTTCTTACAAAATATTATTTAATCTTAAGTTAATTTTCTTAGGAAGTACATCCTTACCTCCAGGCAGTCTTTCTTTAAAATATTGTAAACTATTCGCCCGATGGCATTGGGTGGTTTACCTCCCATATGGTAGTACCGACGCCCTCTGTGATGATGTGTCTTGCGTTGTCATCGATGGCGAACCCCCGGATAACCTGATGGATTAGCGAGCCCTGCTCGCACCCAGAACTATCGACGATTGGACGTGGCACCAGTCGGGCCACCGCGAAACCCAATATGATGCCCGTCTGGCTGTCCAGGAGTATGTCAGCCACCATTGGACCAATGCCTCTGTCCACGATCAGCGCATTATCCTCTGCGTACCCGCACGCAATGGACAACTGGAGACCGTTGGCAATAGCCGTTAAAGTTGACTCGCGCACAATCAATCTCGGCTCCATTTGAGCTGCCGCCGCTTCCAGCAACTGGGCGGCTATACCGATCCAATTGAAGGAGAAGTCCTCTTGGTTGGTCCGCTCCGGCGTGTTGTTGATCTCCAGAATAGAGTCAGCTTGGTGCATTATTTGTTCATTGTGAAAGAGATGCAGTCCGACATGTGACAGTGGTTCTGTTAACGGTTGCTGTGGTTCATTATGGATCTCGTTACTCGTTTGGCAAGCGTTGCTGTCGTCTTTGGACTCCAAATCCTCCTCTTGGGCTGCTCCGGAAACCATTTCCACAACTGGTATTTTACTTGGGGACATGGCAGTCCCTTCCTGGATATCACCTACCAAGTCACCGGCCTGCGATATGTCTGATAGTGACAACGTGGATTCATTTTCGATAACAAAGCCGGCCCTGGGAAGCTCAAAGATGTCCGATTCTTCAGGTTGGTGGGTTGACGCACACGCTGGATGCATCAATTCCTCCTCTGGTTCATCACCTCTTGGATTAAAATAGTCAATGGCTGACATCAGAAGAGAAAAATTCTGCTTCTTGGCTGTGGATGCATTGCTTTCTGGCTTAATAACATCACACTGATTTTCGATTGTTGAATCCGGGATCTCCTCCAGGGCAAGCATTTCTTCCTCCTCGTAGGCCATAAGATCCTTTTCGCCGTCCTTAAAACAGAAGAAAGTATCCTGCGAACACTCCGAATCCATCATGAATTTTAAAGAAAAGTTTGCAAAGTTTGTATCTATTTGAAGTTATGTTCGATTGAACAACGAGGGATGGAGCACACTATAAGCTGTCATGATCGATATACCCATGCATTTTTTATCGATAATCGTTGCAGGAATTATTAAATAATAAAATTATTAATTTATCTTCTAAAAATATAACTCCAGTAAATAGGACATTTTCGTATTTAGATACATACATATATGATCTCTTGAACCCACAGTTTCCCTAAGAAAATGTAATATTTCCACTGGCACTCTATATCCTTTAGAGTGACCAGACTGCAGAACTAAAGAGATCATAGTTTTAAAAAAGAAACGGAATTAATGCTTCACAAATTTAAAACTTGTGCTAGTTAAAAATTAAATCAATCTGTGCATTTTTACACTGAAATCGAAACTGCTGGGACTGGTATGGGTGAAGAGTATCAAATTCAGCCAGCACAGAAAAGTAAACTGACAATGGACACCGGGTCAAGGTCAACAGTATTGTCTAATTCTGGGCACAAAATGAAGGACAAACGTGACTGAAAGGATTGAGGGATTTGATTTGCGCATTTCCATTAGGACCCCACCGATGTCCCAGCATTTGTTGGCGGCCGCTCATTGTGTCTGGCCAGCAAATCAAAGTGGGGGAAACAATGAGGGGAATCGAAATAAAAGAAATCCCTGCCATGGTCCCAGACTAGAAGCTGAGGGCATTAATTAAATGGAAATGAGTCGCAAAAGAGATGGCTGGGAAAATGTGGTAAAATAATGACAAGGTAACCTTAAACGCTAAAAACATCTTTGGTTTACTAGAAAGTGCTACAATTAAGAGTTTGTAAGTATAACGTATAATTCTATGTATATTTAAGCTGTTTTCAACTCTGATAATATGAATAAGCAGTTTGACCCACTGCCCATTACTAACAACACACAAAGGTAGTCCCAGTTTAGCGAGAATTCCCGCCAAGGATTTGTCTCAACTTTCGAATCCTGCATTCAAATGCAAATTTTATGCTGCAGCCAAGCCGCATAATTCTCCAAAAGGAAACTAATGAGAGCTTATTCAAGAGATGGCGTAAAGAGTGGGCGTGGCAGCTAAAGGAAGTGCCTCCAGGCTGACCAGGTTTGGATTCAGCTTCAGCCAAGACAGAAGCTGCACACTGAAAATGAAAGCTAAAAGCTAGACTTTCAATCTGTAAAAAAAGCAATCAATTTTTAAGAAATCCATTTAACTTCTTAAAATATATTTATAGAAAAATATTTTTATTGCCATTCTTAAATATCCTAACCTTTTTTTAGGCACTCTATATAAAATATATTGAAAAGCTTTTAATTTCTTACAGTGCAGCTCATAACAGGGTCAAACTGCTAGTAGGAAATGCAAAGGGCATTCACATTTTGATTTCATTATTGCCATTTTCTGGGCTGCCAGTGCTGACTGACTTCCGAGTGCAACGTCACCGCCCAAGGATGAGTTTCACCTGCTTTTCCTCTAATAAGTGTGCACCTGAATGCGACTGGGCGTACGTGTATGTGTGTGTGCGGGGCCTATTATGGGCGCTCTCTTCGCAAGGTGAAGCATTGAAAGGTGGCTCAAGGAGCAAAGGTGGGTGGCTAATGCCAAAGAACCTTTCAACTCACCACACACACACACACACAGCGGCTGACAACAAAAACGCCTTTCAATCTGAGGGCTCAGAAGTTTTTGGGGCTTTCGGAATCAAAGCCAAGCCGAGCGGTTTGAATGGGATTTGCGCTGGCAAAGGATTATGCTTAAAAGCGATTTTATTACCGACAAGGATGTATACTCATCCAGTGTTTCCTTCGTCCCCGCAGCGATGTTGGTCATTTGCCAAAAATTTGTTAATATGCTTTCAGCATTTTTGGTGCTCTGAGATTTAGGATCGATTACAACCTATGGTTTTTAGCTAGAGAGCTTTTACATAATTTGTCAGAATTTCGTTTAGAATTAGTTTTGATCTCACTATTGTTATTATGTTTCATTATTCATTAGACAAGAATTTTAATTAATATACAAAGAACTGGTGAAGATGACCATTAGTGTATTGTCTTACTTATTTGGTCAAGTTTAAAATAACGATAGTATTTTCACGGAAAATTGTAAATAATAATAAGTAATAATTACAAATATTACGTGGAATCGATGGAATTTAAATGGTAAATTTACCTATTATAAAATAAATAATTCATAAAGGATTAAACATCATAAATCAAGAGCCCTACGTTTTTCCTGAATATTTTCAGCTTCTTTTAGTATATTTTTCAGAATTATGCAGAAAGGAAAAAGGCATTTTCTCTGGACCAAAAGACAGAAAAGTAGCCTCGGGAAAACCGGAAGCAGGCAGGACACGAGTAAACAAGTACCCACCAAGGTCGCTGGCCCAAAAATTATAAATTTCCGCCGAAAATGAAGTTTCAAAAGTTCTGCATCAGTGGATATATTTTAAAGGAAAAGGGTGCCTGCCGATTCCCGAAACTGGGACCCGAACCGGAAGACCAAAATGGTGACACCGGACATGAAATAATTTCAATTTTGGTCATTTCCCCTGCCAAAAGAAAAAGGAGCAGTCCCCAAAGCGAAATGAGTGAATTTAAATGTTTAATAAACTTTCGCCAACTACGCACACAACTGGGCGGAATCTTTGCCACAGCTTTCCGAGCTGCCCCACTTCGACCCCGACTTTCATCCGTTTTTCCTTCACATTTTCCGCCAAGCCGCAAACTGCGAAAATGGCGAGAAAGGGGGGGCGCCAGGCGTCGCCGTCATTGCTTTACACTTTTCTTCTAGCACTTTTCATTCATTTAATTTTAGCCGGTCACCTTTTTTCAGCAGATGGCACTTGGGTATTTAACGTTCGCTAATGCCTCCAGCAGCCGCCTCCGTTGCGGTGCAAATGGGGCGTGGCTGCGTCCGAGCCAGGCCAAAACCAAGGCGACAGTTGGCGGCCGTTTCCTAATTACAAATCACTGGCGGTTCTCACAGCGGCGCCGCGGGAAAAGGCTGGGGGAAATGCCCGGGGAAAATAAGAAAACGAAAAAGAAATTACATTCCTTGCAGAGCGCAGTTCCCCTGTTTCGTTGCTGTTGCTTTCTTTTCGGACTTTCTGGGTCAACAATTATGCAAAATACTGTTATTTTAGGAGCAGACCGTCGCATTTATCTGTCCCTTTTTCGGTTGGGACTTGCGGCCTTAAACAAAGCGCTCCCTTAAACGGGAGACGGGGACCCTTCGGGGGGTGGGCAAAATGAGGCGCATCCGTTTTATAATTAGTTGGCAACCCCCAGCAGAAAACGGGGGAAAATGACTGCGGGTGATTTTTGGGGTAAAGCAGCTTTTAAGCGCGAATTAAAGATTTAATTGCTCGCATTTTGTCTAAGTGCGCCATGCGATTATTGGTGTTTCTCGGCAGCCTCCTTGCCCATCCCTCACTTCAAGTTTGAGTGATGTAATTGTTTTCGTATTTAAACGCTTACAATTAGCCAAATGTTC